ACAGGAAACAAAGTAAACCTCTCAATGCAGACCCACCCACTTCATATTATTTACCACTGCCATACTGAGAGCTCTTAGTTTCATCCGGCAATTTTTGTGAACCACCTGCTCCAGCTTAGCTTCAAGGCTCCTTTAATGTATCGCAGTCTGGACACCTGTGTCAACATCTCACCTTGGAGCCTGAAGCCAGTCTGCCTCCCAGCTGATCATACTTCAAGGTAGCGACAGCTGCTTTGTGGCCATTGAAGGTCACGTTTCCTTCCCCACTCAGTAGACTGAAGATTCGGACAGAGCCATCCTCATAACCAACAGCTAAGTGCAGTCCATCTGGGGAGGGGCACAAGTAAGTGACTTCTTGTTTAAGACCCTGAAGGATGAGGATCTGAAATCAAGAAAAATCAAAAGCAATGTAGAAGAGTTAAGCATATAAGCAAGGGAAAAGTATAGGAATGAGAACATCAACAATTCCAAATCATTTCTATGAATAAGGCCATGACTCCACCATCCAGATTGAGTTCTTTAGTATAGAATCATTACCTGTCCAAGCCAATGAAAAATTCAACAAAAGATAAAATTACGTTTCCTGAAGCTCTACAATGGCATAATACATACAAAAATTACCCAGGCAATGAAATAAATTACTAACACTTTATCCTGTGCCCACATCAAATGATTTTCAAGAAAGGGTTATAAACCCATGCTTATTTAACAAGCCCCCATTTTATAAGAAATCAATTTGCACAGCACAGAATATTACAGTGATTTTATCACCAAGACACTATGCACGGCAACAGTGTAAAAATATCAGAGTAGCAACCTCAAGAGTCTCATAGTTAATGGAAAAAATTAAAATGACTATTTGGCAGAGGTGGTTGGCTTAGGGAATCCAGAGTCACACAAAGTCAAAAGGTAGTTTAACAACTCTTATATCTCAGCTGTGTTAGTAAGAAAAAAATGCCATCAACATAGCAGAGTACTTCTCTTTTTTAAATGCCTAATATTTTATATCTTGCTGTGAAAGCAGTAAAAAAAAAAAAACTTTGAAAAATGAAGAGACTTGGTAGGTAGAGAAAATAAATCGATGTCAAAGATAAAGTTGTGCATTTTCAGGATTTGATGGAGAAAAACAACAGAAATTGATGCTTGGCTATCTTAAGCCAAAGAAAAGACTTCTAAAGACACATCCTCACAAAATCCAGTGCATGATAAATTGGACCTCACTCAATTCTGCCTCCCCTTCTTCATCCACAGATCAGTATCAGCCTTGTTGATTTCTGGCTCACCTTCTCTCCTTTTCTTAAGTCCCAGATGAAAACATGTTCACAGGCGGGTACTGCCACATAGCGTCCTTTCTCACCACGAAGTGTCACAAAGACAATGTTACCTTTTTGGCTACCAATCAGGCCAAAGACTGCACTAGCAACATAGCGTAGGTACTGCTTGGTGAGCCCCATATTACGATGTCTGATACCACAGGTGTCGTAATCTGTGCATATAAATAAAGAAAACTCAGTTCTTTGGATATGGTGGTTTTGCTAGGTTAGTGAACACCAACTGTTAATAATGTAAATACAGTACAGACCTTCTTAACCTTTATTGACTCTGAATAAATCACAGCTTTAAAATACCTGAACATCTTCATTTTTTCTTATTCACTGTTGCCTCATATGTAATCCCTTATTTGTCAAGTTTCAAACTGGTCACACTGCTATAACCACCTCATGAATGTTCACAAAAGCCTCAATGCAACTAAAGGCATTTCTGACTAAACTACCATCAGAGTTTTTACACTGACGTTGGCAGTATGAGACCTCACATATCAATGAATATGGTATACCTACTAATTAGACAAGGACTTTTATAGACACTGGCGATATGGTATTGAATAAGACAAAAACCCTAACCTTACTGTACTCTCCTTTCTAGTACAGTGGTTCTCAAACTCTAATATATACCTAAGTCACCTGGAGGACTTATGAAAACATTGCTGGAAACCAACTCAATTCATCTCCTGCACTTGTTTTTGATTCAGTGAATCCAGGATGCGAACTAACATTTTTCATTTCTAGTAAGTTCCCAAATGCTGCTGTTGTTATGGTTCCTGGGCCATATTATGAAAATTATTATTACATGAAGGTCTGTCCTTAATTTCAAAATCAGAGTAGCCAGCCACCACCCCCAATAAACTGACAGAGATACTAGGCACCCTATTCGAAAGGTGTCATAATTCCTGCATTATATCAAACTCAAAGACAATTATGTTTGTGGATAAAAGGTGTAAGAAGTGAAGGAAACAACAAATCAATCCTGTCCATTCTCATATGGAAGAGTGAAAGAATCACCCCAAACACTCACACAACTTAAGAAACATAAGAATGCCAAATTATAGTCTACTTTGGGCAGTGTTTCTTTTTATTGGGTTTTTTAATTTGGTTTAAGATGACAGGGTCTCTCTGATTATAATCAACTTTAAAATATTCCACCCCAACTCACTGCTAATATTTGCTAATAATTACTTCTAGGGCCAGGGATTTAGCTCAGTGGTTCTGCCACCTGCATCACAAGCACAAGGACCTAAGTTCGATCCCTGGTACCAAAAATTAAAATCAAACCAAACAAAACAACAAAAAGTAATAATTACTTCTGGACCTCAATGTTTCTCTTACAGGAATCAATCTAAAGTCAGTTAAAATTCAAAGGAAGTTAATATTAATATGGTGATAATGCTCTTAGCCTAGGACATCTTTTTTTTTTTTTTTTTTTTTTT